ATAGGAATGACCAGTATTTTTTCTTTGTATCTCCACAATAGCAGTAACCAAAAAGATGAACTTTGACATCCCCTCATTTACGTTACTGGTAAATTATGGAAACCAGCATGCCACATAAACTTCCAAGCCCTGAGCATTGTAGAGACAAAACAAACAAACAAACAAACAAACAAAAAACCCAGAGAGAATAAGAACTAGTTCTATACAAATAAAATTTATAATTAAACTAAATATAAAAATTATAGAATTTAGAGAAATAATTTTTTAAATCTGCTTTTCATTTTTTTAAGATGTGGCAGAATATTCATTTCTAATACTATTACAAATGTATTATTTTTATTCTAAATTGAGCTTTGTTTTAGAACTCTCCTAAATATTGCTTTTAAATTAAGGAAACATATTTTTAAAGGAGGCTTCTTTGCAAAAGGACCTCTATAATTCTATTTCAAACTACACAAATAACATCTCCAGTGCTTACTCTTTTGACAGCATAGCATATTTCTCATTGTACACTTTAAAATAATATTTTTAAAACAGTAAAAGTTAAAGTTTTATTCATAGATACAAGAAAGGACAGCATGTTTTCTTACTTACAATAGATAGCATGAATATATTTGCAATATGATTTAAAATAAGTTTATTTTCCTTTACTAACACCTAAGTAGAATGATGTTCATATGCCCTGCTACAATAGTTTATCTTATAGTCAATATAAAATATTTCTTCGAGAACTCTTAAAATGACAGAGAAGCTGAAGGAAAAACACTATCTTCTTCTAAGAGAAGCTGAAGGAAAAACACTGTCTCTTCTAACTGGAGAAATTAAATCCCCGCTTTATAAAAATGGCCACACTCAATGGAGAGGTTTCAATCAAGTTTTCAAAAATACTACAAAAAATAACTATCATTCCTAGAGTAATTATTAAAGATACCAACCACACCCTCTTACCTGAAAAAGCAGTAATAACCATGTCATTCAATTATGTAAAAGATGGGGAAGAAGTTAACCTTTATGCAAATGTTGAAAGAAACACCTGATAGGAGCCTTATAAAAACAGAAAGTTTATCCTTCCATTACATCCAAATCATGTGAAAATATGACTTCAGCTTGTTACCTGTATATAGAGGTGCATCTTCTCATACCGAGAGATTTTGTTTTAATACACAATTCATATAAAAATAACTTCTTGCCAAAGCCATAGAAGAGCTATATAAAGGGAAAGATCTAGACCCCCTTTAATTTTGCCTCTGGGTATTCCTAGGCTTTCAACCAAAGAACCATTAAAAACACCCCAAGACATTGTTGTTTTTCTTTGAATGGTACTTTTTACAGGAGTACTCCTTAGCTTCAGCAGATTATTGATACTGTCCATTAATCTCTAATCCTTTTAGAAAAAGTTACATAATTTAAAAATGTATACACATGTATAGGCATGTATATGTAGACACATATACACATACGTGTCTACATATGTATGTGTGAGTATGTATCCCTAAATGATAAATACTTATGTATTTAGACTGCCATATACTTTATTCCTGTTTAAATAGATTTGGCCAACTTCAATGGAAAACAAATTCAGCTAAAAAGCATCTCTTATATATTAAACTTTTGATACAGATAGATTTATGACAAGCAAATCATGTAAAAATTTTAAAAATCCACAAGTAGATCAGATATTAATTTTAAAAAGCATTATTGTTTAGCAAAAACACTTGCAAGACCCACACCCACATTATTCTATGGCAGAAAGTCTAACTTTGGTCTTGGCTTTTTGTAATAACAGACCAAATTTGTTCCATTATGTAATCAAACTGTTTTATTTCTGCTCTCCCTCCCTTAAATCATCTAATCACTACCATTAGAAAAAGAAATGTTATGTTCCAATTTGGCATTAATGATATCTCTTCCCGGCTGTTGCACAAACTGGAAATCACAAGAGCTATAAGTATTTCAGGCTCATATAATTGTCTGTCTTAAGTTGAGTTCTTTAGGATTAGATTAGTTCTCAAAACCTGCTTGGGGAATTTCTCTAAATTGATTTAATAAACTGACCTCAAAAGAGATGAATTGATATCATGTCCATGGTGTCTTTAGGTTAACAGGAAGTTCAAATTAACTTTCAGATTTCTAACACATTCTGCATTTTATTTATTAATCTCCTATTTCATTTTGCAAATATAATTAAAACAAGCTACTATATTCTAGTTTTATTTTCAGTTAGCACCAAGCCTAATGTGCAAATCTTATCATGTAAATACCATGTTATTTATCCATTTTCATATTTCTTGATTAGAACTATCTGATCATTTGACCAAATAGAATAATATTGTCCATTAGGAAATGAAGCTACAAACCACTCTGCAACAACTCTCTATTGTGTGGTATTTTATGGAATTAATTTTTTAGGATTTCCTATTATAGGAGCAGCCTTTAGTTCTGATAAACATATGCAAAAGTCTAATTACCATATTTGCTCTGAAACATTAATAAGATTTACCAAGATATTCTTTTTAAAGGAGAATATATGAAGATTGTATGAAATTATCACACCAGAACATTTTGTGGGATGACAGGGAAATAATTTCCTACCATGTATCATTTCAAGTCTCTTCTCAACCCACTCATTATAAATTGGAATTAGTTCTGACTTCCAGAATATAAAGGCTTAATTTTTCAGAAGTATGTGAAAAACTCAATACTTATATGCATCTCTCTCACATGTCTTTGCTATAGTTAACATTTGTAAAAAGACATGAAAATGTTACAAATCAAGCCCAAACTTTTACCTTTCCTAAGACGGTAGAGAAATAAGCAAACAAAATCTTAATTTGCTTGCATGGGAAGTAATTGGGTTTCCTTTTTGTACATCTTTTCATGTCTAAACTTGTTAATTCAGTTGTACACACATGAGGCAATTAAGCGGTTGTCCTTTTGTCCTTGTATCCAAAAGGTGGCACCTCTAAAAATTAGTTAGCTTTCAACAGAGACACTACATTAAAAAAAAAAAAAAAAGAAAGAAAGAAAGAAAAGGCATTTAAATGTCAAAACCCTAGACAGAAGATCTTGTTTTTGTGACTCTAGGTAATTTTACTTAAATAGAAAAGATAAGTGTCTCAAATGGAAAATGAGTTTAGAAAATATGCATTACATTGATGGTAAGTGAAACCAGCTCTTCTCTAAGTCAGTGTACAAACTTATACACTAAAGATATGTGCTGAAAAAATACTTTCTGGGGTACATAAATTAGTGTGGAAAAGCAGACAGAGTTAGAAAGAAGACTGCCTTTTCTTATCCCAAGTGTGCACGTAGAAAAAATTCTAAGACTTGGCTTTTCCCCTGATAAATCAAAGGAAAGGATTCATCTGGACACTAACATCTGCTGGCTTCTCTCTGCTCATGTAGAACCCACTTGGAATGCTTTCCCATTACATTCAACTAGGCACTTCTCTTAACTCCTCCCATCTGACAATAATCACTTAGCCATCTCTGATGAATAATAGGAAAGGAAAGCTTATATCACGGATGATGGAATTAGATGCTGAAGCTGCTGTCAAGGCTCTGTCCAACAAGTACCTTTCACTTGACCTATTGTGCAGGCGGCCAGGGAACCCAGTTGTTTTGATAGCCTTCTCTTTCTTATGATAAGGCATGAGAACAAAAACAATTTTCCTTTTAAGATTTTTTAAATTTGAGGCTATCTTCCTACCATTACTTTCTAAACTTTGTTCCAGTACAAGAGGCTTCTTGGCCAGCCGAGCTTCCATGTGCCTTCCAAATGGAGTACTGAAATTGCATAAACACCATGTTTACAGCCACTAAATATTCTCATTAAAGGAAAATAAGGCAAGGCATGAATCTGATATCCAGGCAATAAAATGCAAACGCAGAGAAAAGGTAGAATGAACTGGCAATTCATACACAAAATTAGCTTTAACACAAAAGTGAAACTGTTGCTTTATTTCACCGAAGGGTTAATATTCAATAAAGTGAAAATCAACATGTACACAAAACTAACTAGAAGGTTTGTCATCTCAAAGTAGAAATCCAAACCTCTTGATAACACTAGTGTGACTTACAAATGTTTTGAAACTTTACCTTTTTTACTTCCCAACATAAAGGTTATACCAGAGAACCTGAGGAAAGTAACCATCTGTTTTTAATTTTTTTTTCTTTGCATGAGAAACCCCTGAAAGTTCAGACATTACCACTGATGGGCAATACCAAATAGCCCCACAGGACAGATGGAAACAGGAAAAGTCAGATGGTTAGCACTTAAAAGCAACAGCAATTAAGCAGTTGAAAGTGGGTTAGATCAGTGGGTTATTTTTGTTTCATTTGAAGGAATCAAGTAAGAGGCACAGACTCTTGCAAGGAGGAGATCAAGTCAAACTTGGTGCTTCCCCTCTCTGACAGCCTGGGCTGGATGGCTTGTCTACTCCCTTTATTCAGTTTAAATGCTTTCTGTACTCTAATTTTCGCAGAGGTTGCATTCTACCTCGGTCCCCCTCCCCCGCCCCCTGGGGAGGGGGCAGAAAGAAATCTTTCTCTTTTCTCCATCACCCCCACCCCCTCCTTTCCTCTGAGAAAAGGCAATCCTCTCCAGGATGAGAAAGAAACCCTGTGCCGCCTTAGGATGGGAGGAGGGTGAAGACGCGAGAGAGAGACTGAGGAGGGGCGGGGGAGGTGAGAGATTGAGATTGGGGGTGGGGGTGGGGGTCGGAGAAGAAAGAATGAGAAGGAAAGAGGGAGCAAGAAGATGGGGGATGCCCAACAGCAACTCCAGGCTCTAAATAAATCACAGGCACTGTGCAAAGTGCTTTTCTAGGAGATGAACATGTGGCTCATTATGTTTCTCACAATAGGCCACTCGGGGCTTCCTCCCCAGGTCGCAGCCTCCCACCACCAAACCCCAAGTGTACCGAGAGTAAAATGTTGCGGACGGATTCAAGCTAATGGGCACCTCCGAGGTGGCCACGCTGCCAGTCTCGCTGTCTTACCTGGAGCGAGGACCAGAAGGTGGTGCCGGTCTCCGTCCCCACTGCTCTCCCCGCGTGGACCTGTGCAAGACACACACGTCCTCTTGCTGCCTCTGCTCTTGGAGGGGCAGCCTGCAACACAAAAGGGGTGTGTGGGTGTGGGTGTGTGGGAGGTTTTTCAGGGCCACCAGCTGGTCCCAGCTGGCCACCCCCACCCTACACACACCCCTTGGGGCGCTGAGCCCCCGTCTCAGTTGAGCACTACCCTGGGGGGGCTGGCCCGGGGTGCAGCCTCAAGTTGCCGCTGCTAAGTGCTGCTGCCGCCGCCGCCGCCGCTGCAGAAGGAGGAGGTGGAAAGACACCGAGGGCAGTACTGGGTCTAGAGCATCCCCACACTGCAGCTTCTCCAGGAATCCCTCCAGTGAGGAGGCGGCCGCCCATCATCTCCCAGCCCCGAGCGCCTGATTGGTTGGTTCCACCTCGGGTACGCTGCTCCAAGGAGCCAATCCCGACGCACTAATCATAGGTGGATCCGCTCAGCCAACATCGCCCATCCCAGTTCTGTTAGTGTCTCTCCATCCCCACAGCGGACAGGGACCAGAAGAGGGAGATTTGGGAGGGCTGGGGGAGGGGGCGAACTAAGAGGGGGACAGATCCCAAGGAGACGGAATCAAGGGCATCTGATAAACCCTTTGGGTAAACGCGGGGATGCCCTACAACCTGTTCAGCAAGCCATTTTTTCAAGAGAAGGAGACAGCATAATACAAAGCTTTTTCACCCTTTCTTTCTTTCTTTCTTTCTCCTCTCTCTCTCTCTCTCTCTTTTTTTTAACTTTCAGTCAAAACCTGCTCTGATACTGAGCATGCCCAGACTGCAACAGCACCCTAGGAGTTCCGATGTGTGTGGGTTCCCAGGCTGTGGGTTTTTGAAAAGGTGGGAGCGGAAGGAGAGGCAGAAGTTTGTCTTTGGCCATTTGACCCAGCAGAGTTGTGAAAGCGGAGCAAGGCGGGGATGCAAAAGGATTCTGCACGAGCGTCCTCAAACTGAGACACAGGGAGGGGGTCCTCTGGGCTATCTGAGGCTAATCAGAGTATTCTGTCAGGGTCCTGGGGTGGAAGTGGTGGGCGGAATGATCTAAGTCTTGCTAGATGGATGCCTGGAGACTTTTCGGGAAGGGTGCTGTGGACCAGCAATGCTGGAGATCTGTCCCATAGGTGGGGCCGGGGAGCGCGACTCCACCCAGCAGCCGCGGGCTGCCTGGCGGTGGAGAGTGCTCTGGGAGTTTCCCCCGCAGCCACCACTAAGTTTGCAGACTTGGGCCAAGTGCGACCCCGTTGGGGTCGCAGTTTCTGTCAGTCCCCTCCCCCATCTCTCCACCCTTCGCCAGCACAGTGACGACTAAGGCACGGGTTCCCTCCCTCCTCTTTTTCCCCTGAACGATTCTGCTCGGAAGTAAGCAGCTTTTCCCTTGTGAGAGTGGTGCTGACCTGATTGTCTCTAAGCTCTAGGGCAATTTATAGCTTGGTAATACCATACCGAGAGATATCAGACTGGGAGGTTCAGCGAGTGGGGGAAGGGACAGCCAGCTAGGTGAGGGGCGGGGCAGAACCTAGCTTCAGGTAGGAGTTAAGTCCATTTTCTGCTCCACAGGTGAAAGGCTTCCAAAATGCGGGAAGTACTTCCCTTTCTCACTCACTGACCTAGTTTTATGGCCTTTGAACCTCTGATTCGTTTTATTTAGAAATCCTAGCAGTTTGTCTAGACTTGATCAATAGCTATAAAGGAGAACTCTCCTAATTGGGCTCTCTATTTTACTGACAAAATTATCATGGCATCTCAGGTAAGGAAATAAATAGCTATCTCAATTCCCCAAACCCATCCACTTTGAACTGGAGTTTCATTAACATTGGTTTGCAAAGGTAACTATAGCAAGAATTCAATTAACAGTAACACATTTCTTGAAGTTTTAATTAAATCTCTCCTATTTATGTAATGTTTAACATTAAGGCCCTTATTCTAAGTGTAGGGTAAGAGAAGACAACCTCTCTATAAACTAATCCCTTTAATGACATACTTGTATATCTTGCAAAATTGTAATTTTATGTGAATATTTATCTTTCATTTTCTAAAATATTTCTCAAATCTTACTTTAGAATAGTTTCATAGTTGGGGAATTGAAGTAATAGATGTTAATTTAAAATCAATTTTAAATATTTGATGGGAAAAAAAGGAGGAGGGGGAGGAGGAAAAAGACAAGAATAATCAATTATCTTTTTAATGTATGTTTTCCAATAAATGTCTTTGTATGAGAGGACCATTATAATATCCACTTGAAAGAAATAATTATTCTAAAAATACTCCCAGCACAATGTCTAGATCCCACTTATTATGAACTACATGATTTAAATAGCTGCATCCAACAGCTGCATGTAGAAGCAAGTAAACTAGCTTTAGAAGAAATTAGTAAGTAGAATAAGAATCCAGTTTAGTTATCTGTGTTCCAGGCTTTGGTCCTATCAATACTGTAGTCAATTTCTCTTCCTGTCTACCACCTACCTTATATCATACCCAACAAACATTCTCTCTCAGTGGTTAGAATCCTGGGCAATTTAAATGGAATTAGATGTTTGTATCCCAAAGTTCCTTGAAGGAGACTACTGGCTAACAAGAAATGGGTTTTACTTGGATACTGAGATTAAATTTACAATCAATACTATTTCTGTTCACAAATATTAAGAAGACTACTTACATACTGGATGTCGATGTATTCTAGCTTTTGCACGACAAAGATTTTTATTCTCTCTTCTACTCATATGTTCTCCTCAAGCTGGGGAATGGGTTGAGGACCTCTACCTGGTGCTACTAGGTTGACGTCTCTGTTGACATCACTTCTTTGCCCTTTATAGAAGACTTATACCCATTAAATGGAGGTCAGGTCATTTGTCCTTTTCTCTCTTTTCTCATTTCATTTCTCAGACACTGTTTAATCTAGACTCCATGTTACTGACATTTAATTTATCCCTTCATTGTATGGGATTTTTAAAATATTATTTGCTATTTTAAAAGTATTTTAATCTGTTTTGCTTAATGTTTTCTTCTCTGTTCTTTACTTTAAAAAAGTATTATTGTTTGGGGCACCTGGGTGGCTCAGTCATTAAGCATCTGCCTTCTGCTTATGGCATGATCCTGGGGTCCTGGGATGGAGCTCCACATGGGGCTCCCTGCTTGACAGGAAGCCTGCTTCTCCCTCTCTCACTCCCCCTGCTTGTGTTCCCTCTCTCGCTGCATCTCTGTCAAATAAATGAATAAAATAAAATAAAAAATACTATTGTTCATTTTTTCTTTAAATTTTTTGTTCTGATTAAGATCTTATTTCATCATTTTCTTTATTCATTTTCAATGGATTCATTTATTTACAACTTTAATGTTCCCTTTGCCATCTATTTTAGGCTACTGAATCAGAATAGAAACTAAATTAGATTGGGGCACTGAGGAGAAAAGTGTGTCTTATGGCAAGTGTGGGAATTAGAGACTTTAGAAACTAGAAATTCATTAAGTGTAAACCTAGCTAAGGCTTTCTGTAGACCACAGAAATGATACATAAGAGAGATACCAAGAAAATGCTCCATGTTGGTGTAAAGACTTGTATATCCTTGTAGATCAGTGGTACTACAGAGTTCCATTCAATCAAGATTGCCACATGTCATTAAACATTATACCTTTAATAACCACATTAACTGGTAAAAACCATTCTTATCATTTTTGATTGTGAAAAAAATGAAAAAATAATAAACTTTTCTAAATTTTGCCTAATGTTTGTATAGACTTATAGCTATTTTTTAATTGTATATATACTTTCTGCCATTGCCTTTCAAGATGCAGCTTTTCTTTTTTCTTGTTTCTTTCCAAGACAGAGAATTGAATAAATGTTTATTTTCTGGGTCAAGAATTTGGATAGACTTCCAACTTCACCACTAATTATCTATATGATCTTGAAAATGTACAAAGCCCTCTCCAAGATTCAATTTTCTCATCTATAACAGATAAATAAAGATACAAACTATATCCTTAACTTTTCTTATAAGGTTAAAGTAGTGCATATAAAGTAGTAATTCCAATCACTTATCAAGAACTTGAAGATATTAGCCATTATTATTTTATCTTTATTGTCACTGCTACTACTGCTACGTTTTCAGATTCCTAATTTCTAGATTTGATTTCCTCCCTCGTCCAGGATATTTAAGTCAATAGTGAGGTGTTCACTCTTCATCTGTGAACACTGAAGTTAGAGGAAAATTAAATCCATGTTATAAGAATGTGTTTATACATAAAATATCAATAATTATCTCTCTGGCATGTTAGTCTTAAACTTCAATCTTTTAGGAAATGAATACTTTTATTTTTAGGGAATGTGCTCTTAAGTACTATTTTTTAATTAAAATTTAGTTTATATTATGTTTTAAAAAATAAGAAAAAATTAATTCTAGTGCTAAAAAGCTCATGAACACTCTGTTTTTGTTTTCAAGCAAATAAGTGGAGCCATCCCCTTGTTTTAATGACACTTAAAGGCAGAGGAGATATCCATTCTCATTTCCCTTCCACTCCTTTTTCTCAAGATCATTTGGCCTGGCAGTACTGCTAATAATTTTATAGCTAACTGGTAGGCAAAAAACATCAGGACTCTCTGTATCAAAATTAGATAAAGAGAAATTAACCACATGGATTTTTAAACTGGACACCCACAATGTTGAATAAAGAAAATCCAGAATTGAACGAGGGAAAAAAATGAATACAGATGGGAGTCAGTTCTCTGGGGCAGAGAGTAAGAACCCCATAACTGAACTATAATACTTCACAATTTCCAAAGAAAAGAAAATAAAGAGCTAGCAATATTCGATGTGGCTTTACAAAAGTCTTTTCTTAAAGTTATGACTAAGAAAATATTGGAAATGAAAAGGAGGACAGTGACTCAAAAAGTAATATACCGTGTCAGGCTATTGAGGTTAGCAAGGAAAATATTATTTAGGTGAATCTATCTCAAGGGCAAAATAAAAGTACTTTGAGCTAATGTTAGCTAAAGGTCTTAGAAAGAAAACAAGTGATTTTTTTTCAAA